CCCTAATGTACATATGTATGAAATAAAACCGAAAACAGCAAACCAAACAATAAATAGATAAAGATAAACCCTTGAATTTATTTTTGTTGAAATTAGTAAACAAGCTCAATCGGCTATTGCAAACTAAAATGATATGATCTTTGCGAAAGAGAATGCATTATTTTGAAGTCTTGTAATTTCATCTGAGTAGTAATTTTTCTTCAGTACTGAGTCCTATCGATGAATATTAATTCTAACGATTTTAATTAGATGGTGTTTTTCTAGCAAACCTATAGTTCTTATATAATTTGTTGTTAAAGTTTTCGTATAAACGATGAATAAGATAGCAAAATAACATCAAACTTGGTGCTGCCAGACTGGAATTTTGAATAATAAAAGCGATTTTTAATTCGGAATTTTCACTTAGTAGAATTCTCCTTTCTGCGTAGACGGCCTTCGGCCGCGCTTCAGGATTATAACCCTTACTAAATAGAATTAGATGTAGCCTTGGCAAAGAATAAGGTAACTAGAATTCCCTTTCTGTGTGGTAAACCTGGGCTGCCGCCCAGTGATGTCTATTATGGTTATGATCAGGACTAAGACCCCTATCGATCCCAATATAAATTTTTCCAATCAGAGAAATGTACGTATTCTGCACGTATTAACTGTTGGAGTGACAGTCCTAGGCCAGATATTCATATGTATGTACATGCATAAATCTGAGCCGTTTCGGTTACGTAGACCCGATTGTCGTGGAGGGAAGAAGAAAGGCTCGCCCACAGCCTTAATCTGAAAACCACACCCTCCGAAGGATTATGTTTTTAAGTAATTTGTTAACGTAATAATTGTTAATTAATAAATTTGTTTTAAGTAATTTGATAACAATTTGTTAGACAATAAACTGTATTTTAATTGAAAATTCTCAAAAATTAATCATTAAAGGTAAGTGGCAAACTGTACATACATGTATCATATATGGCTTAAGCAACAAATCTATTTTAAGAGCTCACATATTTTCTACTTTCAATTAACATTCTCCTAGATAAACAATATATATGTACATCTAAAATGTTACTCGGGATGCAAATACTATATATATATATATACATTAGCGTGGGCCGAAAATCCGATTTTTTAGAATTTTGATCGGTAAAGCAAAAATATGGTTCGTACGCTTTAAAAAAAATTAGTGTGAGACTTGGAATTTTTTGGTGAATATACTAGGCTCGCCCAAGTCCATCCAGGTAAATATACTCAAAAACTAAAATTTAGTTAATAATTAATTAATACATTTTTTTTATTAAAATTGCAATAATCTTTTAAAGTATTAGTCCTACATAATTTGGTATATGGACCTTTTTGTAGAGAATCAAAGTTAGCTAGGAAAATATTTTTTTTAGTACTTGAACTTTGAGGGACTTGGGCGAGCCCAGGAAATTGACCAAAAATTTTCACATTTCACACAGATTTTTTTAGAGCATAATGAACCATATTTTTGCTATTACCCATCAAAATTCTAAAAAAGCGGACTTTCGGCCCACGCTAATATACATACATATATACCTATACATACATTTGTATATAGTCAGACAATATAATATACGATTTAGTTTTATTGTTTATACCCAAGCAATTATTTTACTTTTGAAACGGGTGATGCAATGCGGATGCTCCAGGAGTAATAGGCTTTATATCGAAAAGCTTAACAATTACAAAAACATAGTTATATGTTCTTTTAATAGTTCACTTACTTGCTGTTGAACTTCTAAATTGTCTTTGATTTAGTCTCAACTTTATCTTGCTTTTACTTCATGGACTAACCGTAGAATTCTTACTTAATATTCACAAATTCACGAAATATTTACATTCTTTTTTGTTTAAAGAGCGTCCATATATAGCAGAGTTTCCCATTCGCATTTATTTTGTAGAACAGATGTAATTTTTTAATCGATTTATTCGACATTTGATCATTTTCGTTTTGTTACAATTTCATAACTCGGCGTCTCCATCTGCAAACAAGTGTTCATTTGCCTGTTCAATATCGGTCCTTCTATTTGTTCATTTATACAAATAGTAGAAAATCGTTTGAATTAAACGCTGCTACAAGCATTTCATAGGAATACGATGCGAAATCTAGAAGTTTAAAATTTTTTTATTTAGTGAAATTTTCCGCACCAAAGCTGTATTCAACTGTCAAAGTCGAACGGAAAGTGCATGTCGTGGCGGGAGTGTGTTTGACATTAAGTTTGTATAGAAACTTCTACAGTAAAAGATTGCATTCTGTTGTAAACATCTAATTACTTACAAATCAGTTTTAAACTCTTTGCTTTACATACAAGCACTTAAACAGTCCAGTACATCATTAATATTTTGATTTCCACTCATTTTACTTTTGTTTATGCTTAACCAATTCAACATATGACAGCTTTTGACCATCATTCTTCTTCGTCTTCTGCTGGTAAAAATTTCACTAGCAAGAATTTGCAGCTCTCCTGTGTTATTACGCTCTCCATTCAGGGCTCTCTTGCAAATTTTTTGGGTTACTAAGTATACACTTTTGCAGTAAAAATTTGCAGGTTCCAGTACAAATTAGTACTGATTCACGGTGCGGCGAACAAAGGTGGCGCCGTCAGTAGCACCGCTACTTTGGTTTTGCCGATTTTGACGGTTGTGGTAACTTGTAAACAAACCTTTGTTTACAAATCGGCGAAAGAGAAATTTGAATTATAAGTGAAAATCAGTTTAAACTGTGTTAATTTGCAATTTGTGAGTGATTTTTGAGTTGAAGACTGCGTAAAAACTAATTAAATGAAGTGCTGTGAGTTAAGATGCGTAGATGCAAGTGTAGCGCTGGGACGAATCGCTGCATTTTGTGTACATAGGGCACAGCAAAGCCGTTCCCGAAATGTTTCTTTATTATTACATTAACAGCATTTCCTCACAATAGAAAGAAATATTCTTCTGCTCCAAGCAGCCTCCATTAGCAAGTTAACTAATAAATCCCGCAGAGATGCTGCTGCACTTTTCTGCAGCAGCCTTAATTGCAAAGCAATAAAGTGGACTAGAACGTTTGCTGAAGCAGGCTCAATTGCAAAGCAATGGAGTGCACTAAAATGTTCACTGTTCTCTAATAGATTAGGAGAAAAATGCAATATTTTCGCATTCAGCAAAATTAAAACACGTTTTTCGCAGTAAAGTGAACCGCTTTCGCAGTTTCAACTCGTTCTTCTTTTCGCTCTATTCTTTGTTTACTTGTGGTACACAAATGTCAACGCCGAGGACGGCGAAATCTTGTATTCTATCATTCTTGGGTTTGAATAGTATTGTCACCTTCTCAGCCAGCGAAAAATCCGAAAACGATCCGAAAAAGGACAAAAAAGTGGATGAAGTGCGGATTTTTGTCCGTTTACTGATTCCATCTCCGGATACTTTGACGATCCGTTTTCCCACTAAAGTGTGCGGCAGAAACGTATGTACAGACAACAGTATGTGAAACGGATACGTTTTCGGCTGTTTTTTCTGGAAATTTGTATGATAGAATTTTTCGTTCAATACGCTTTCCTTCTGCACTTCACAGATACTTTTTCATGGTTTAAAAGAAATAAAATAAAATTAGGAAGCGCCTGACGGAATTCGAACCCGGCACCTTCTGGAAGCTAACGAATAGCGGCACAGTCCTCTGCACGCTCAGCCCCTGCCGACTACGCATGTATACTTTCAAATGTTTAGCTTAAGCAAATAAAAAACAATTTTTGCTTTCAAATGACATCACTTTGTAGGAGTTTTTTGTATGCGTTTTCGGATACGGAAAATTTAAGTAAACTGCACTGTCGGCAAAATTTACGTTTCTTTGCTGACTGGGATGATTATATCGGTAGTATCGCAACATCCCTACGCACGCCGTTCAATTTCGGTTGGTTCCATACAAGTATTGATAGAACATTTTTCGAAAAGTATCGGCGCCACCAATTACGAACCGAATCACGTAATTCGCCATACAAAATTTTGAGAGCGAATCACTTCATTCGTAGGGGATTCAGATCCAATCACCGTGGGAATAAAAAAAAAAAAAATCATGGCCGACGAATTGATAGAACGGTTTCACCTTACTATGTTTTTATCATGATTGCAGAGCATACCATATACGAGTAAGAATCCCGAATTTCGGTTAAGCTTTAACATTGATTAGCTATTTTACTTACGAATATAAATTACTTACAATAATGCCACAAGCTGTGAAACGTGCTGGTAACTTTGCGCTAGCAGGCATAGAGAGAGTGTCGAAACAGGGCAGTGCGCCCAACTCATATAAAGGCATTTAAATAAATTGGCTGAGTGTTCATTTGTAATATCTCGCAGGGAATTGCGCAGTTCAAAGAGTTCCGGAGATGTTAGTAATATCATGTTAAGTAAGCGTACCATTGTTGAGGCAAATTTAATAACTTCTTCATCAATAATTTCCGCGAAAGTACGATAGATATACTCTGCATTTAGTAATACGCATAATTGCCTGCAATAAAAAATGTTTAGACCTATTAGATATGTACATAGATACAATTTTAATATGCTTATTTAATTATTATTATTATTATTTTTTAATTTCTGAGTCTGGGTTTCACTATCTAAATGTTTAACTTTCTTTTGTCATCTGTGTTGATCTTTGCTATATATGTATGTGATATATATTTCTTTTTTATTTCTGTTTTAAGTAATCTGTATGTATTTTATTTTACTAGTATTTTTAATCTCTGTTTTGTACTATACAAGATCTATGATATTATTTTACTAATGTTTTTTTCTCTTAATAAATGAAATGAAATGAAATAAGTTACACAATTTGTATATTAAACCCACCTTATTATAAGGCTGGCGCGATTATCCAAAAACTTCTTTTCCTCGCCAAATAGGTTGATTAGACTCAGTAGGAATTTGCGGTAGTGTACTTTGTTAAAGTCACTAGATTCTAATATAAATTATAAAAACATTCAATTTGTACAGATTATATAGGCGCTTGATGTATGTATGTACATACATAAGTATGTACATTAGACTGCATCACCAAAAAAATTTACATTTTTTCCGCCGGGATTACAAAATTTATTATATTTTAAGACGTTCACCGAAATATTTTGAAAAAATATTAAGATTTACGTGAGCTGGACCGATTTGAAAATACCTCCAAAAATGGAGTTTTTTATGTATAAAAATAGTTTCATAATGAACTTTTTGCAAAAAGTCTCCTCAGATGAAAAAACAGATTAAGCTTAAAAAATCTGCATAAAAATCTTTTCGACGGAATCGTAATAATGAGATTTTTGATTGTTTTTTTTTCTGCTTTTTTCAAAGATTGATTTACGAGAAACTTAAATAACTGGGCTAAAGCTACTCTGATTTAGACTTATGGGATTTCGATAGAAAGGTATTTTCCCACTATTTTTATTTATGTGCAAAAGTCATTCCTGTCCCAATTTTTTTTCAAATACCAACACATCTTAATTCAACTTTGAATGACGTTGGCTCATCCTACCTTTTTCATTCATCCTTTAAATGAGCTTATTAGTAAAGAAATAAAAAGGGTGAAAAAATACCTTTCCAATGATACCTCACAAGTCTAAATCAGAGTTTAGGTTCAGTTATTCAAGTTTTTCTTATCCAATCTTTGAAAAAAGATAAAAAAAAACAATGTTTTTAACTTAAACCGTCTTAAACATCTTTAAGAAACTATTTTTATTCATAAAAACTCCATTTTTGGAGGTATTTTCAAATCGGTCCAGCTGACGTAAATCGTAATATTTCTCCGTAATATTTTGGTGGACGTCTTAAAACATAACAGATTTTATAATTCCAATGGAAAACAGTACCGATTTTTTTTTGTATGGGGAGTGATGCAGTCTAATGTACTTGCATACCTTTACTATATGTTGAGTTTAAAATTTCTGCCAGTACTGACAAGCACTGCAGCACAACCTCGTCGGAATTGTCGGATAATATACTTAGTAGGTTGGCACTTAAATTGTTTGCATGTGGCGACATCTACATTTATTGAAAATACATATTAAATATATTTTTTTCATAAAAAATTGGTAAACCGACCTCATTTGGAAAATGTGTAAATAAATGGTGAATCCATTTTAGCACGGCCACTTTTGTGTGCACCGAGTTATGCGTCAAATATTGGGATAATACTTCCATTACCGAACGTAGATCAATTTTCTCAATGTTTTGAGATTTGTGCTCTTTAGATGAAATTAGTAACATTATCGAGCTGTTCACAGAGACGGCACATTCTTTAATATCTGCCAAATGGAAAAAATAATAAGCGTGCAGGTTACAGACGGTTTTAAAATAACTACTCTTTTTAGATTCAGCATTGTACTCCAGGCATGGTAAAATTGCTGTAAATATTCCACTAGCATAAGGCAAGACATTTGGTCCAAATATTTGCACAAATTCTCGTATCCAAGTTATAGCAATTGACTATATATGATAAGGTTTTGCGTTTTTTTTGTAAAACGTCATTATTAAATCAATGTTTTTATGTATGTTTATAGGTACGCTTACTTTGATTAGTTCATTTGGTGATTGTGCGTGAATGATTAGAATGTTTATTGTATCTTCCATTCGCACGAGAGAAGAGTCAGTTCGAATTGACTTTAAAAACTGGCTCAGAGTAGTTTCACACCTAAAAGCATGTGATGCGGCAATACACTTTTAAAAATGTAGTGAAATCGTCGGTAAATTTACATACATTCGTTGAATTTCCAGAGTGTTGTCTTCTAGCATTGTAAAAAGTCCATCTAAAATGTCCGTTAAATAAATCACCATATTTATTTCGGGAACTGCGTTCAAGATTGATATCCACGATATAACATATTGTCTAGCGAATGAGTTCTTTACGTAAATACGTTCTTTAAGTAGTGGTATAAATGCTTCCAAATTGAAAGTTTGGGAAGATTCTGTGACAATATCCTATAATATAAATATATTTAAGCAGCAGATAATTTGTCCTGCATATTTGGTACAATTTCGTAGCAAATTACCTTTAACAGTCGATCGAGCAATTCACTGCCATCCTTTACCATTTGGTCAGAATCTGCCACCAATCGTGAAAGAGCGGAAAATAATTCTGGAAAGAAAGGTATGATAGCAGCTCTGGCTACTTTAACTACATTGTATAAAGATTCACAAGCGAAATAACGAACTCGTACATCCGGGTCACTAAGACAGTTTAGAATAGGTGTGACCAATTCACCTACATACCGTTCTGAGTCCTATAAAACAAAATACGTCAGTTTACCAAATACACAATATACCTTAATTACTTACTTTTCCCAATCCAAGACTGGTGGCTGCTAATCCTATTAAGCCACCTTTACGTCGATTGGGGTCTCGTGATGTAGCGAAATCATTAGAAAGTACCTCTATTAGCTTACGTATTTGAATGGAGTTCTTTTTTATATTGAATTCTGTCACCATTCTGCAAAAAATGAGAACAATTTAAATAGCAGAAAAACTTCCAAAGTAATAACATAAAATATATTTTATATATATTTATGTATACATACTTTTCTATTTCTTGTGAGGCGACTTTACGCTTTTCATAAGCTTTATCTGCTAGCGCCTTGGCGCAGCTTTCACTCAACGGGGCGTATGGTGACTCCATTTCTCTCTACAAAATCGAAGTCCTTATTTTTAGTGAATTTTTGCTACCGTGTCTAAGACCCTCGTAGTCCGGTGTGACTAATTACAATTGTTCAATCGATTTTCTCATCGATATTTTATCGGTGTATCGATTGTTGGATCGGATTATAAACTGTTATACCATGTTCTGACCGACAACGAAAACACATTGAAAACGTGTTTTGGGAGTGTGGGCTGAAGGCTGTTCACACCGGCTGTTAATGTTTTCGTTGCCATTTCTTACATCCTCTGATTACAGTTTTGCTACACAAAAACAAAACCAAAATGCTTTTCCCTCATTTTCTTTTCATTAGCAACCTCTTACTTTCATTCTTATTTTACTTTTGCCAGCCAATTAATATTACATTTACATTGAACCCAAATGCGTCATTTGGGGGAGAAAACATAAATGCGAAGCCAAATTACGCATTTCCCCATACAAATTCGCATTTCTAAAATCACGCATTTGAACGCATTTAAACAAAATCACGAAGAAAATGCGTTCCAATTGCCGTACTATTTTATTGAACTCACTCAGAAACAAAAGTTCCACAAAAGCTTTTGTTTGTCTTTGACATTTGGAATTTTTCAAAATCAAAACAAAGACAACGAAATGAATAAATCTTTGAAATTTGCATATAAAAATTGTTAATTTATACATAACCTTTACACATTTTAAGTTTAATCAATAATTGCCTTTTTGTGTCCAAAATGTGTTAAAAAATATAAGGCATGCAGTGTTTGTTTACATTCCTTTTGTTTTCGTTTTCCCTTTTCAATTGATGAGAAGTCAAAGGAAATGCGAACTAAGTAGTGTAAACACCTTCAGATGACTGATTTCAAATCACGCATTTCGGTCCAATGTAAATGTAATATAACAATAAATCCGAAATGGCGTATTAAAAATGATAAAATATGACTTCCACTTCGATAAATAATCGAAAAGAAAACTAGTAAAGACACCGATTGGAACGAGTGGAACGTGAGTTTTCAAGTAGTTTTCAGGGAAAACTGGTTTTCGTTTGACAGATTTTACATGGACGAAAACACAAGTTTTAAGTCGACAACCAGTTTTAGCAACGAAAACATGTTTTCGATGTCGGTCATAACATGGTATTAGTCTGTTCCAATAGCAGTCCGGTTTACAGGATTTACTCAGAACTTACAGGAAGTCGTTCCTATTGACATAAAACCTGTAAGTGGGAACACTTTTGAGAGAGTAACTGAGCAACTGTTCCTAGTCAGAAGTTACAGGATTTAGTCAGGAGTTTTTTTCCTGTAAGTTCATGAAAAGTGTCAAATGATCAGCTGATTTGCATGTGCAAACAAAAACAGAAAGCGGTGGAAGCAAATAACCTTATATTTGTAAAAAAAAATGGAAGTAAACAACGAAATATTTGAATATGTACACATTTTAATAATTAGTTAGTGATATTTCAGCCAAATCAGTGTTGCACAAATGACATGTAAACAAACCGACTGACGTTTTTACAGGAAATAGTGCTTTCTGCGTTCCTATGTATATCTGCATCTGTTCTCCTTTTACTCTCATTTGAGAGCGTAAAATTGTAGTTTGACAGTTCCACAGGTTTTAGTCCGAAGATCAAAGGAACAGACTATGTTTGCGTGTACACTTCCGACTAGGATCAGTTGCTCAGTTACTCTCTTAAAAGTGTTCCCACTTACAGGTTTTATGTCAATTGGAACGACTTCCTGTAAGTTCTGACTAAATCCTGTAAACCGGANGATTTGCTGAAATATCACTAATTAATTATTAAAATCTATACATATTCAAATATTTCGTTGTTTACTTCCATTTTTTTTTACAAATATAAGGTTATTTGCTTCCACCGCTTTCTGTTTTTGTTTGCACATGCAAATCAGCTGATCATTTGACACTTTTCATGAACTTACAGGAAAAAAACTCCTGACTAAATCCTGTAACTTCTGACTAGGAACAGTTGCTCAGTTACTCTCACATAAGTGTTCCCACTTACAGGTTTTATGTCAATAAGAACGACTCCTGTAAGTTCTGACTAAATCCTGTAAACCGGACTGCTATTGGAACAGACTAATTATGACCATGTTTCAATAACACAAGGTTATGTAAATTGTGACAGCTAAAATATGACACTACTTTATTTAGCTTTGTATTTTGGAAGTCGGAGAAAAGGGGAAGAATGTGGTCGCCTCTGCCGAAAACGGTAGGAGAAAGGTACTAAAAATTGCGCAAAGTATACAATCAGAAGCTTTTCAAGCGTTCAGCTGAATTGTGTAGCTGAAAGCCTGCGAAGCGCCAAACAACTGAAAAGCTTGTTGGGGAGTTGTACTCTTTGAGCTGGTCCAATGACAGGACCAGAAGGTGGTGGATAGGACTCTGATCCTGGTGGAGGATCATCTGCTTTACCTAGAGCACGGCAAAATGTTGCTAAGCCTGGGCACGTCAATCTCCGGCTGAGGAACAGGCATCCAAAAGACGGCAGAAAGTACACGCTCGAAGCAGGGAAATTGCAGAAGGACTCAGGTATCGATAGCTTGGCGAGCCTTACCGTAGCGGAGAAGGCCACGAAAGCGGTGAATGGTCGCAACCAGCGACCAGCGCTGAACATACTCCACATAAACCTCCAACACAGTAGAGCAGGATTCGCTCGACGTTGCTCTAGTCCAGGAGCCATGGCTATCGTCGGGAGGAAAAGGCCCGTATCTTTAAAGTGCGAGTTGTGAGGGCAGCAGTATGGGTAAGAACAACTTGTACTCATACACTTTGTCTAATTCTCTACTGAGGACTTGGCGGCTGGTGCCGTAGAGAAAGAGGCGGAGAGGAGGTTGTAATCCTGAGATCTTGCTGCATGGCGCCCAACATGGTCGCCTCACCCTGAGCGTTTAAAATATTGGTGAAAGAGGAGAAGCCCAGGGGGTGCAGCGACATCAATGAGCGTGGTTCTACGTACCGGAATGACTCGGGTTTTACCCGACCAAGGGCTGTTGTTTCGGCGATCTAACCCCGTTTAGGTCGGCGAAGTATCTTAGAAGTTGTTCGTCCATAGGGCTACATTCGCTACGTTTTCTCCTACTCAGGGCTGGCATCGAGTCAAACCCAGGGCCAGAAACCTACAACTGCTGTGTATGCCAGAGACGACTACACCACAACTCCACCTCTGTCAAGTGCAATGCTTGCGAGGAGTGGTGTCACCTCAGAGTCTGCTCAGGACTACGGACACATCGGCAGTGGACCACGTCGTATGTGGCCCCCTGCTGCTCAAACAGAGCAGCCACCACGGCAAACCTCAGTCCACCAGAGCAGCCTCACATAGTCACCATAGCACAACATAATAACACCACATAATAACACCACAGCCACGACAATTTAACTGTAACGGGATGCAGAGCAAGATTGAGGAGATAACCGTCTTTATGTGTCGGCATGGTATATTGATAGCTGCGGTCCAAGAGACGAAGTTGCACAGCAATTCAACATTGTCGAATTGTGCCGGGTACAACGTGCACCGTCGAGATCGCGAGCGAGATAATGGTGGTGGCTTAGCGTTCATCACGCACCATACCGTGCAGTATCGTCTTATCGAAGCAGACATCGACCGCAGGGATACCACCCTAGAATGTCAGGGCATCGCTATCCGGTCAGGCGATGTCGAGCTCGAAATATTTAATATATACATACCCCCTGTCACCTGCTGCCCGGCAGGATATCACCCTGATATAGGTGCGCTCCTCAGAGGTGAAAACCGTATGGTAGTAGGTGACTTTAATTCGCATCACGATCTTTGGCATTCAAGCCTGTCAAACGTTCGTAGGGGAACAGAATTGGCTGAGCAGATAGACGATTCGACATTCTGCACAATGAACGACGACGCACCCACCAGGATTATGGGTAACTGCAGTAGCTCGCCAGACATCACCATAGTCAGCGCTGGTCTGATAAACAGCATAACATGGCGACCTATGCTGACTTTAGCCTCAGACCATCTCCCCATAGTCATCTCGATAGATAAACCAACCGACTTTGCCTCCGCTAAACACCGTATAGGCCCGGTCTTCTCTAAAGCTGATTGGAAAGGTTACGCGACGTACATCTCGGTGAACGTAAAGCTGATGCCAGATAAAACTTTGTAGCTTTGCGTGACATTTATAACTTTGCCAGCAAAGCGCCAGACGCAAAAGGTATGCCACAATGAACGCCAAGAAAACAATGTTGTACCGCTTTTTTACTCATCAAAGTTGCTGTGGATTTTAATTATTTTGATTTAAAATTATCAGCAATGTAATTAAGTTTTATGTTTCTGCATGAAAACCCGAATTTGGACGAAACAAAATAAATATTAAACCGGCTGATTGTCAAAGCGCGCAAAAAGATGGGAGTTGACCATCTTTTCGCTTCGCGCTGCCGCTTCAACGATTTATGTGGCATGCTTTGTGCATTTTCATACAATTCATCTTATCTGTCAAAGCGAATCTGTCACGTAAAGCGAAGCAAAAGTTTTATGTGACATCAGCTTAAGTTCCGCAGGGCTGTCACTGCTGCTGCAGCTCGCTTCATACCGGCAGGATGTATATCGGACCCACGTCCAAACTTCCCTGCCGAAGCGGCTGTTCTAGCCGATGAGCGTGATAGCCTTCGTCAGGCCGATCCCGGAGGTCCCCGTATCAGGGATCTCAACGCGGAGATTCGGCAACTAGTAAACGTACATAAGCGGAAGAAGTGGGAGGAGCATCTGAAGACTTGTAATTTCACCTCTGGTGTGAGCAAGCTTTGGTCAACCGTGAGGTCATTGTCTAATCCGACGAAGCACGACGACAGAGTCGAAATTTCCTTCGGCGACCATGCTTCGTCGGACCCGGAGCGATGCGCGAGCTATTTTAGCCGGCAGTTCATACTGCATCCTCCGGTGGACAAAGCCAAGCGTCGAGTGACCAGAAGGCTGCACAAACTGCCAACAACTTGTGCCCCCCTTGCTTTCACTTGCGGTGAAGTTCAGGTGGCCATCGGGAAGGCGAAAGCCTCCAAAGCCATGGGTCCCGACGGAATATGCATGCTGATGCTGAAAAATTTGGGTCCTGCGGGGGTAGCGTACCTAACGGAGGTCCTCAACTTGTCAATGGCCACTCTCATCATCCCAGACATCTGGAAGGTGGGGAGAGTGGTCCCACTGCTCAAACCGGGGAAACCTGCCAACAAAGGAGATTCGTATCGTCCGATAACACTCCTTTCCCCGGTAGCGAAGACACTCGAGGCCTTGCTACTCCCGTACTTCACAAACCACCTGACCCCAGCGAAGCATCAGCATGGTTTCCGTAAAGTGCACAGTACAACAACAGCACTTAACGCCATAAACACTCAGATAACTCGTGGCCTTAACCGTAACCGTCCCTGTGAGAGAACGATTCTAGTAGCGTTGGACTTGTCAAAGGCGTTTGACACCGTCTGCCATTCCACGCTACTAGAAGATATAGAGGCCTCCTCTCTCCCACAGAGGCTCAAACGGTGGTCGGCAAATTATCTGAGTGGTCGACATTCGTCGGTAATGTTTAGAGACAAAACGAGTAAGCAGCGAAAAATAAAACAGGGGGTTCCTCAGGGTGGTGTCCTTTCCCCGCTACTGTTTAACTTTTATATTTCAAAGCTCCCTCAACCACCAGAGGGAGTCTCGATTGTCTCCTATGCCGACGATTGCTCGATCATGGCGACTGGGAATGGAATTGATGACCTGTGTTCGAAAGTAAACGGCTATCTCTCCGAACTTTCTCGCTTCTTCACTGCAAAGTGTCTAGCCCTCTCCCCTACGAAATCCTCCGCGACCCTGTTCACAACCTGGACGAAGGAGGTCAGGCTACCGCTGGGGATTCACGTCGATGACACACCAATTCCGACGGTGAATAACCCCAAAATACTCGGAGTAACATTCGACAGCCTGCTCTCCTTCTCTGCGCACTCAACCGCTATTGTCAATAAAGTACAGAGCCGCAACAAGGTCCTCAAGTCGCTAGCCGGCAGTACTTGGGGCAAAGACAAAGAAACGTTGCTGGCAACATACAAGGCAATAGGCCGGCCGGTTTTGAACTACGCAGCGCCAGTGTGGTCGCCAGGGACTAGTAGGACGCAGTGGACGAAGCTATAGACGGTACAAAATACGGCACTTAGGACAGCGACGGGATGCCTCTTGATGTCGCCTGAACACCACCTGCACGGCGAGGAGCAAATGCTCCCTGTAAAGGAGCATAATATAATGCTCTGCAAGCAGTTCCTGATCGGGAGCCACAGAAGTGGCCACCCAAGCAGACAGCTGCTTGCAGAGGAGCCCTCGCCTAGGCACGTCAGGACGCATCTATATGAACTGACGGACGAAGTCCAGAGGTTCATTAAGCAACCTCTGGACCCGACAGCTTACAGACAGTTATGTAGAGTTATGTAGACTCAAGACCTGTGAGTGCCGTTCTAGGCACACAAACATCGGACATCGACATGACGGAGCTCCATCTGCCTCGGGAGACTAGAACGACAATAGCCCAACTTCGCTCTGGCTACTGCAGCAGGCTAAATTCCTACCTGTCTAGGTTAAATGCGGATGTGCCGAACGAATGTCCGGCATGTAGAGAGACCCCACACGACTCGAAACATCTCTTCGCATGCCCGGAAAACCCCACAACCCTAACGGCGTCGTCCCTATGGACTGACCCCATAGAGGCTGTACGCTTCTTGGGGCAGCCGTTAGTGGAACTCGACGACAACGACTGAGATATCAGCCGATCTGAGCGGGGTTGTTGTAGCCGCTACAACAACAACAACAACAACAACAGCGTGGTGAATCTCTTCTTTGTTTCTTTCTTAATAGCAACTTAACATAGATGGAGCCAACGTCGAACAGGGTTGTTGATTCAACTTTTTGTTCTGAGCCCTCTTTCCCGGATCATGTTTATATAGGTTTTACTATCTCTGTTGCAAGGCCTCTTAGAGACATTTCTTTTAGGAACCCCAGACTAACAAACCGAGCCCTTTTTCCAAAGTTGGTTGAGGACAGACTGAGTTCACCCCCGTCGGTTATAGACGTGAAGGACAAGGAGTTGTTGAACTATAGCCAGTCTAAAATATTAAATGATGCTTTTAAGCAGTCCTGCCCCCAAGGAGGGCAAAGGACTATGTGCCCAAAAGACCCTGGAGAGATTAAGAGACGTACATATATATATATAAAACAAAACGTGTCGGGGCACATATTCTCAAAGGCGCAAACGAATTGAGGCGTCTCTGGAGATCAGAAAATTCGTGTTTCGGGTCTTAATGGACATAGCGGCCGCCTTCAATACTATTTCTAAGCAAGCCATATTAGACGAGTTGACGACGATAGGGGTTCAACCAGTAATTTGGAACTGGATAAGCGTTATGTTGAGCTACAGAAGTTTTTCGGGGCAGTGGGGTAGGCATGACACTATGAAACCGGTTCACAGTAGTACGCTGCAAGGGGGAATAAAGAAAGTGTATATAGGCTATGAGCGAATGGCATGAGTGGCACTTAGGACTAAATCAATTGCAGTACTATACACCTTACTACATCTCTTGCCGGCGGACCTATCGGCAAAGAACTACAGCGATAAAGGCACTCCTATCGCTCAGCACTTTCTTAATAAGTGTGGTGGAGTGCAATGAAGCTCGGGAATTGTTACATACTGGTACTGACGTATATCTGTACTGGGCTTCGGGGCACACCGGCGTCTCGGGCAACGAGGAGGCTGACAGGCTAGCCAAAGAAAGCGCTCTGCCGGAAACTATGCTGATAAAAGAAGCGACAATTTTCCTCCGAGCGATTGAGCGGGTCTTGATCCAGAAGGCGCGGAAGGTGTGGACTTAAACCCAAGGATGGAAGATGTTCAGGATTATGTGCAGAACGCTCACGATGCATCTTCTATCCCTCAAGAGTGAGGTCGCTGGCTACTGACTCTGACCACTGTAAAGATCTCTAGGAGACCTAGAATGAAAGAGGAGACAATGAAACTGCTGCCAAGATAGAGTACAGCAAGGTTTTCCAGTCTGCCAAGAGGTCTACTATGTTATTCAAAATTACAAATGTTGCTCAGCGATTAACTGTCAACCATAGCCTAACCTATAACATAGGCAATAGAAATAAAACACTATAATATATATGTAGTTTATTTAAATTATATGAAATTTATTCAAATAAAACAGATGCAAGCCATTAAGGACCATTTTTTTTCCCAAGTGCCTTGAATTGAATATGCTACAATGCTTTTGTATGGTAGTGAAATAAAAAAACATGTTTCTATATATGTATGTTTGTATGTATAACATTCAGATAACTATGTAAATAGAAAAGCAAATTAGTTAATGTAAATTAATTAATTTCAATCCATTACGTATGTATACCCTTTGTATACTTTTTTTAAAGATTTGGCTGATACCATACTATTTTTCCACTGCAACAACCGGTCACCAATAGTGGCTCGCGAGGACTGAATCTCGTACTTAAAACTATGTCTGAATGAGCCCTCATTGTAAGAATCTCTGACAATGGCTTGGCTTTTCTATCAGTACTCGAGTAATTGCGATGGATTGAATAATTTGCGCATTCGTCGGAGAATCCTAGTAATCGCACTCCAGTCGCATATGGCGAGCAAATTATGCGACCATCCGATGAAAAACATGGTTCCTTTATGAATGTTTTTTCCTTGTTCAATTCTTTAGAGTAATACGTCAACTTTTCAGGGTTCTGAAAAATTTGTCGATCGGAATGATTTTCTATTTGTCTTAAAGATGCTGTTGACAATAAAGATACAGGCGATAAGGGCCGCGGCCTATTCCTTCGTCGATGGTTTGGTGGAGATTCATCGCTTGAAGTACTGCTTTCGTCGCTGCTTACGTATACTGTAGCACCCCGCATTAATCTAAATCCCGAATTTCTGGACATAGGCGACGACAAGCTAGCATCGCTATTATGTGTTGCTGCAGGCAGCACTCCGCTGCTAATTGCATAAACAAAGTTGTAGACATTCGTGGTGTTGGTTTCTCTGTCTCGATTTTGTCGTAAAGCTCTGTCCTGCATAGTAACTTCGGCTGCCCAAATATCGGGTACAAATGTAGGCATGGTGCTATTACTACTGGCGGAGTTGCCATCTGTGTTACCACTGCCAGTATTATTGCTTCCAGACGCTTCTCCATACTGGCGCAGTGGCATCATTGTAACTGGATCTGAAATAACAATTTATTTTTAGTTTAAATTGTAACTGTGAAAACTGTGTGGAAATAAAAAATATTATGCGTATTCATCTAAACGCGTGAATATCTCGTAACCTCGTAAATATACCGGTTTCCATACAAAGTTAAGTAAGTTTACGAGATTTACGCGTGGTTACGAGACATTTACGCATTCAGTGAACTGCCCATTAAGAACTCTATTTTTGTGTTTCAGTTCAACAACATTTACCTGTACGAGTTGGCAATCGAGGGCCACGAATTCTGCGATTAACATTAAATAATACATCCTCCGTACTTTCTCTGCTGCCGGTTGCCGGACGACTGTGCTCAGCAACAGCATCATCTTTGTCTGTGTCAGCTTCTCGTTTGCGCTTTCTCTTATTTCCGTCGTTGTTACACTTCTTTACACTCTCAGTTATATCATCTGATTCTTCTTCTAAATCATGCACTGTCAACCATTCCGTTACGCCATCATAACTTAGATTTCGGCTAAGAAAACAATGCCCTCTTGGGTGCACCTAAATCAGATAACAATAAATACAATAATTTTTAAATGGTTATAATTCATAATACACACCTCCAACGATAATATGACTTCTGCGTCGTTTTCTTCTGGGAAATCCGTAACAAGTTCCACTCGATTCTTCTTTTGCTTTTTAGAAAACACGTGATCAAACTTGGCTGCTTGAGGTATATACTGTTTGCCCATCTGCATCAGTCTATATATAATTGGCTTATATAGAGAAAAGCAAAGTTAAACATAAATAAACACCAATTTAGGTACATTTAATATTAATAAGATGCACGCTACCAAGTGTTTTGCCGAGCGTCTCCTCCGTTTTGTGGAATGCGCTTTGATGTTGGCACACAAAGGGGAGGGACCTACATTTTAACGCCGACTCCGAATGGAGTGTATTTTTATAAGAAGCTGTTTTTCATGGCAGAAATACACTCGGAGGTTTGCCATTGCCTGCCGAGGGGCGACCGTTGTTAAGAAAAAACGTTTTTTCTACATTTTTTGTGATGTTGCTTTGACCACGATTTGAACCAGGCCATGCGGAGTGCAAGCGCGCTCTGCTTACCGCAAAAAGTAAACCATTGGTTGTAACTCTTGCTGCCGTCCCTTAATTGGTGCGCCAAGCGCCAAACAATTGTCAAAAATCCTCATGCCCATACAATTTGTATAGAGCATCCCACAATAACGCGGCGCTAGCGCCGAACATATGTAATTTTTATATTTGATAGGGCGTTGCGTGCAAAAGTTTTATGCAGAAGACGGAAAGATAGACAAAGGACAAACAAGTGAAAGGGGAAACGAGAATAAGAGGAAGTGGGAAAACGTCACAAATGACGACAATGGGAAACGCAACACTTAGGGCTCCAATTTGGGGCGGCAGTTATCGGCAAAAAAAAAAATATTTTTCATCTAATAACTGTTACGAATCAACGTTTTCGTTAAATATACGAATTCGGGCATCGTTTTCAATTTGTAACTTCGAGATAACAGTTATCTTTGGTACCTGAAAAAAGGTTTTTCATAAAATTTATATCACTTACTCGAAACCCGCATAAATCCTTGTGTAATGTTGTTAAGTCTAAATCATGAATGACCATTAGGTATCCGCCAGTGGTGCATAATATAAGTTTTGAGCAATCAGGTGTTATGCGGCATCGCATTAAGCCACTTGTATGGAACACTTTTTGATATATCAGTCCTTGTTCAGTATATGAATTAATATCCCACGTAAATATACTTCCATCAAATGCCGAGGTCACCAACAAATTATCTTTTTTAGAATACTCAATGCTTTTAACCCAGTTTGAATGTCCCTGAAGACTACGCATCTTCGTTTTCATGAAACGCAAATCCCAAAGGGCGACCGTAGTGTCATCAGAGCAGGTGGCAAAATGTCTACTATCCAGGAATCTTAAAATTAAGAATTCATATAAATTACCTCTTAATTAATCTTTTGATTGTTGATATTACTTGATGCAGTTAACATTTGAAGAATGTGCGTCCATGATTTTCTGTGCGGATTGTCTACTGACAACATCAAACAGTACAATTGCCTTTTTTTCACAAGCAGCAACCAACAAATTCCTTTCAATCGCATATAAAATTAGAAACATTTTGGGACGACTAAGTAAATGTAAACATACCCTTCTGGTGAGAATTCCAAGTTGAATACACCACCAACATTTACTGTCCCCAAGGTGTTATTAACTTTACTATATTTGTCGTTCCATTGGTATAAAGGTCTCATCGATTTGTAAACTCGACGCATAATAAAATCCTGATCGCCGTGACTTTGTAGGAGGCCGTTTTCACGCCGTAATAACCAATTGTGAAAACTCATTCTATATGGTATATTCTTTTACTTTAGAAAATATTTTCTATGTTTACACGTTTTCTAGAGATTGTTTAAAATAGTAATCAATCAGCTGTAAGCAATTTACGCAGAACAAGGCCAAAACTTTAAGTACTGTGCTGAATTATCGGAATCTAATGCTCGGTACCCGATATCACTTCGATACAATAGGTTCTTTCCCATACTCAATGCGAGATCCTAAAACAACCCAGAAACCATTTCCGCACCCAAAAAATTGGTAATAGAGAGCGAAAATCGTAATGGATCCTAACAGCTCAAACTATTATTACCGCGAGAGTTTTCACATTTTATAAACCGAAATCAATTTGCGTGCGTGATTTGTCAGAGTTGCATTTCTGTAAATTTTACTTCACTATAATTTGAACCCATGGTGAAAGAGTGAAGGTGATGTCAGTAGTCAGTTGGGAAATAGTTTTAAAATACTCCATTTTAGTATTTCATTTTATGGCGATTTTTAAAGAATTTGGTGTTTTCAGAACGATATTAATATTTAAAATTGCTGGATTTGTATAATTTTTGTCCTCAAAATATAAAAGATATCTCAGTTATCAATGGAAAAAGACGTACTGTTATGTCGTAGAGAAAGGCGATTTTTGTATATTAAATATCTTTTGCTGCATTGTCATAATATCGAGCCAAATGGACTACTGATACACTAGAATAGAGCGGCAGCATGGTTAAATTATGATTATCGATAAAACCAGCCTTTGGGATTTTCTTTCAAAAGTAAAACCACCCATTGTGTTTAGTATGCACGACGTTAGAACTGCATAAAATTTGTTTAAAGTTAATGTCTACCCGCCAAAAAGTATAGAAAACAAATGCAAAATCATAAATTTTAAACAATTTTCAAACACTTCGCTACACCAACGAAAGCAAAACCCTGTTCGACGGAAAATTCGATACTCAACGAAAATTTCGACACGCTTGCATAGCTCATAATACGAATTTCATTTTCGAAAATCTAATGCAGCTCATATTAAGGGCCTATATTTCCAACCTGTGTGGAGCTGACGATACAAACAAATATTCAGGCTTATAAGCCTGTAATTAAACATTTTTCTACATTTAATTTGAAATAATACGCTCGAACGGATTAAAAGTAGTAAATAATTAGTACTTTTTCTACTACGTTAAAATGCGTGACCGGAAGACCAGCCGAAAAAGTGAGGTTAAGTTACTGACAACACCCTGTTATTAGGAGTGTTCGCTATGCAACTGCCAGTAAGAATTAGTCAGTAACAAAATTCGGAGAACAAGTAAGGTTCTACTCTCCCAAAGAGAGAAACTTGCTAAGATTAAGTTCTAAGTTAAGTAACTTTCACAATTCATTTTCAGAACTTCCATTTAATCTGCACTTAAGTGGCCAATATTGGCTATTTAAATATGAGCTGTGCAACCCTGCATTCGTACCAAAAAAACAGCATTTATAGATAGGTTATTTTCGTAATGTTACCAAACAACAATCAGCTGTTCAGTACAAAATGTAAACAAACAGGCAAATGGAAACAGCAAAAATGATAGCTTTGTTTCTTAACAAATAATTATCACAAATTATCACTAATTTCAATTGGAAAGCGTTTCTTAACCCAAACAACTTGCAGAAACTAGCAGCTCTCTCTCGTTCTTACGCTCTTCTTTTGTTTGGCTCTCCTGCTAATTTCTGCTAGTAAAATTTTTACTTTTCTTTTTTCTTTACTTTTTTTTCTTTACTTTTTCGTTATTTCGCTCTCTGTCAGCTAAATTCTCACGATTGAGAGAAATAGAGGTTGCGCCAATCACGGTACCGCTATTCCTCTCTCAGTGAATTTGACAGGATCGTTGTTTGTAAGACGTCACACTTGTGCAACTTGTTTACGTTTTCCTTGCAACATGTTTTCTTCTTCTTCCATTCTTGCTCACGTTTTGGCATTTCTCTCTCGCAATTGCACCAGTGTGACGTCACACAAAATTTATTCTCAAAAATCCTCTCTGATAGGCGCAATCTTGTATTCTATCATTCTTGCTAAATTCTTTTAATTTTCTCATTCTTCTTTTTCCTGATAATTATATGCTAGAAAAGAAAAGAAACAAAGCCGATGTCTCGATGCATCGACTATTTATACATCGAGTTTCGAGTTTTCGATGCATCACATTTCTAATTGGTACAAGAATTTATATATATTTTTTTAACGTATCTATTTAATAAATTGTCGAAATAATCGTCAAAAATTGTCAAATTGTCTAAAAAATGGTTGTGCCGATGCCAAATCCCACTAAAGACTTGGTACTTAAACTTATGGGCGAAAAGGAAAAACTTGAATCCAGAATATCTGAATATGGTGTTATTTTAAGAAATGTAAGTCCGTTTCTCTATTGATTCTCGTATGTGTCTTAAGCCTTTTGCATTATTATTCTGCATATATGCTAAGTCATAGTTAGCAATCGAGTTATTTACTCCCATACTTTCTTTCTGTAGAATGACGATGTTGGAATGCACGGAACTTTGGTGGATGCAGATGGATATCCGCGGAACGATATTGATGTTTTTCAAGTACGGCAAGCGCGCCAACAAATAATTTGTCTACAAAATGATCACAAAGCGTTAATGAAGGAAATTGAAAAACAAATGCATAAATTACACGCAGAAGCAGCTGAGGAACGGGCACAGGGATTATCACACAAAGCATCAGGGATGCATTTGGAAGATGATAGTGAGATGTCAAATACCAGTAATGGGTCCTGTGCTTCGTCAACAGCGCTAGCCATAGCCAAGGTGAATATGATAAATCCTGGCTCGCCTGCTGAAGAAGCTGTAAGATATAAATTAACATTTGATGATGCAAAATATTTAATCACATTTTTATACAGGGTTTAAAAGTAGGTGATGAGCTATTGGAATTCGGCACAATTAACTGCAGAAACTTTCAAAAAGATTTAAATCAATTTGGCATCATTGTGCGTCACATGCAAAATCAAAGAATTCCACTGAAAATAAAGCGAGGAAACCAACACTTAGAGCTGATATTAATACCGAAAACATGGAGTGGTCGAGGACTCTTGGGCTGTAATATTGTACTTCCCGATGTTTGAATACTATGCTGTTGACCAATCAAATATTTTATTTCCCTACCGGAAGAATATATACTATACTCCAACATGTACAATTACATTTCCGTTTTCAAATTTCAAGCAATCACAAACAGCTTCGAATAATTTTTTTTTATATACACAAGAATCCCTACCAGAACAATCCCTTTAAACAATTTTCTGAGTGCTCGGAATTTATGAATCTAAAATGAGTCTTCCGTTATAATTATGATTCTGAGAACAGTCAACCAGACTGACACGTTTCAGACTCTTTTGATGTCATAAATTCTGAGTTTAACAAAATCACTTTTCGCGTAGAAGTAAAAGAGTATTAATAATTAGAATTATGAAGAATATTTGTTTTTAAGACTTGGAATACGTCATATTTCCCAGGTCATAATATGACTCCTACCTTAAACTCACATTTGAGTGCCCTCTAAGAAGGAAAATACGCTCTTTTCTGACTTTTTTTTTTATACCCGAGCGCACTTGTGCACAAGGGTATGTTAATTTTGTTCACATAACGGTTGTTTGTAACAGCCAAACCGAATCGAGATAGATATAGACAAATGTATACATAAATGCTCAGAATGAATAGAGAAATCGATTAAGCCATGTCCGTCCGTGTACACGATAACTCGAGCAAAAATTGAGATATCTCAACGAAATTTGGTATGTAGGTTTTCGTTAATCCAAGGTAGGTTGGTATTGAAAATGGGCGAAATCGGACTGTAACCACGCCCACTTCCCATATAACGGTAATTTCCAGAAATACGAAAACTGCGATATTTTAGTAACTACTGAAGATAATTCACTCAAAATTGATATTTACAATAATTTTTAGACGAAAAATAAGAATATTATAAATTTTTGGAAAATGGGCGTAGCCACGCCCACTTATGGTTACATGTGTATATCTTGGTAACCGCTGCACCAATTTCTTCCAAACTTGGCACAGTTGTTGGCCTTCGCATAACATACCAAATGGCCGAAAATTTTTAAAATCGGACAATAACCACGCCCACATCCCATATAACGGTAATTTAGAGAAATACAAAATCTTCGATAAATCAGTAAATATTAAAGCTAATTTATTCAAAATTGATGCTTGCAACAATTCTTTACCAAGAAATACGTTTATGGTAAAATTTTGGAAAATGGGCGTGGCACCGCCCACTTATGATCACATATATGTATATCGGTAACCGTTCTACCAATTTGTACCAAACTCGGTATGGCTATTGTGCTTGCCACATAAAAGGAAAACGTTGAAAATTATTGAAATCGGACTAAAATTACGGCCGCTTCTCACATAACCGTAAATTTCAGAAATGCTTGAAACTACAATATTTCGAAATTTAAGGACGCTAATTTATTCAAAATTGATACACCCCGGCTTACCATCTAGCGGTAGCTTTCGGAAAGGTGAAAAAGCATATATTTAATACTTGCGCCGGGTATTTAATGTTCGGCTCCACCCGAACTTAGACTTTCTTACTTGTTTGAGCTCATAATGATGGTTGAGGTGTTCTTACACGATATGTATTCGCATCTGTAAATGTGACTTTTTCAATACATATGTAATTGCGTATGTCTGTCAAATTCACAGTCTTTATTTAACTATTTAAAAATACATTCTTTGAAAACGAAATAAACTAGACTTACATAATTCTATCCATGATAAAAATATTACAAGATAAAATCATTGAGAGGCAGTTTGACGTTTGCCAGCAATATAATTTTAAAATTTGAACTCATGCTCAAGATGTATTAAACAAGGCGTGATTGACAACTCAGGTAGGCTCTCTTTTAAGGTGTTATTATGCCAAAAAATATAAACAATCGATTCAAAATTCATACACAAATTTTTCAATTTGACTTTATAGGATGGTTCTTTTGAGAGCAATGTCAAATTCAGTCACACTTCGTTGAACACATTTTGCTCAAGCTCACACACATTCCCATTTTTAATGTCAAACAACAACAATTGTGAACAATTTCATTTTTTTATTTTCAATTTTATATGAGATGTTTGCAAAGGTCAGAAAAAAATCATGGCCGACGAATTGGGAGAATTATTTTACCTTCTAATGTTTTTATCGTGATTCTATCTGTGTCAGATGAAAATAGAAACATTTCTATTTCGTATATACATACGGGCATCTGCTTTGTACAGCAGAAAATCTAATTTGCCTTTACAC